GTGAATACCAGTTCTAGAATGAGACAACACATGCGCAAAGTACGTATGAGTATGCGCGTGTATAGAGAGAGCGAGACTTGAATATAAATACCAAATGTTTGTATTGTTGATCGTCACTTTCATTTCAAACTCGAAAGATTCAACATCTCAAGTATCTTTTTCCCCTCTTAATAAAATCAAATATGCTTAACGCAAGTAACAATTTAGATACTTATGCTTCTGAGCAAGCTCGATACGAAAGCTTTTTCAGATCAACATGGGGAACGGAGATTTCATATCGAACAGAACTAGCGCGTGATGGTTTTTACTATACAGGAATATCCCGTCAAGTTAAATGTTTTTTCTGTGGATATATCTACCACGCCTCCTTCTTACAAGATCTACACTGGATTGAACATTGTCTTCATTCATCAGATTGTCCTTTCATACAAGGTCTACCCTGTGGTAACATACCAAGAGCTGTATCAACTGTTGTTCTACAAGAAAATACTCCGCTAACGGTCATGGTCAACTATGATAGCCAGGAATCAAGGGTAGTTCAGAATGACCATACTGTTCAATCCGAAGACAACGTTGCAGAAAATCGAGTTATAGTAATAAACCAAATTGAAGGAGAAGATGTAGTTGATGACTACCCAAGGACAGAGAATAATGATCTGACAGTTGAAATATCTAATATGGTTTCAGAAAATGAAAACTCTAACGATCTTCCAGTAATTGAAAGGACCAACCGTCGATTTCCTAGAGTATCTAGACGTACAACAAGAAATAGGTTAATAACATTTTCAGAATCATCTAATCGAAGACGTTATTTTCAACCAGTGAACCTCCAGTTCAGATCATTGCGCGCGCGACTTGAAAGTTTCTCAAACTGGCCCATTCATGATACGATTTCACCGGAAGAACTTGCTGAGGCTGGATTCTTTTATACCAGAATATATGATCATACTAGGTGTTTCAATTGCAATGGGACTATATCAAACTGGGAGAGAGGAGATAATGCATGGGCAGTCCACATACTTCCTAGATGCTCTTATCTATATTTGAAGCGGGGACAGATGTTTGTAGATAATATTAATTCTCCAAAAGATACAGCTTCCCCTTTAACAGAAGTCCCACAAGCATCGGATGATAAGGATAGATACACTTGCAAAATATGTCTTGATAAAGAAATAGGCACAGTGTTCGCCCCATGTGATCATGCTATCTCCTGCACTGATTGTGCATCGCAAATTGACGCTTGTCCAGTTTGTAAATCGACAATCACGCATATATGTCGATTAAAATATATTAATTAAATAAAAACTTATTTTTTCATTTTAAAAATTATATTATCATTTTTATTAATAAATTAACTTCATCAAAAGAATTCAATATGTCTACAAAGTTTGTAAATCCTGTGAAAATGAGTTTTCCTGTATGAAAAACTGATATTTTAGCTTTACCAATAACATAGTAAGCAGCTGGGTATATCTCAGGGTTATATTCGAAATCCCCATTCTTTGCTAGGTCGTTTAAAACAATTGGTTGACCTAATCCACAAGCGGCAACAATGTTAACTATTCTGCTAGTATATTCTTTTTTCTGATGTAAATATGAACACAATTCATTAACAGCATCTTCTGCATCCTCCAAACTTTTACTTCCAACGACATTTATTTTTCCGTTTCGAAATACTAGTAAACAATTTATCTTTCTCTTGATTATAGCTCCATTGAATCTTTTAGGTCGGTAATCAGTTTGCGGATAAATATTTGTCAGCTGATTTAAGTTAATTTGAAAAGGTAGAGAAAAAGCAACGACCATATTCGTAATTCGTGGATATGTCACCTCATTCATTTTCGTTATGCAACTGACAATTTATATCCCATTCATCAGCACTTATACTTTTCACTTTTTTATCATTAGACTTTGTATCGCTAGAAAAATATTTTATGAATCTTATGAATGAAAAATGGAGAGAGCGTAGTTTCACAAACGCTATGCAAAACTCTCCACATGTTCGTGAAGATGGATGTTGCAAACAACGTCCATTCCACAACATTTTTCGAGAGCCTACAGCATTAATCATTTCCTGATGCAAAGGAGGTAAACCAAATGAGTCAAAGTATTCACATTCTCTCGCTGTAAATCGCATAGCAACCCAATGAGTGCCACGATCAGATGATTTGTCTGTATTGACGATAATAAATGATGGGTATTCAACTATTGAAGGTATTTTATCTCTCGCAAAACATCCTAAAAATTTATTATAAGATGAAAGCGCTTTCTTTATTTCATAATCAATCATTTTCTTGTTTTTTACTTGAAATCAGTTACAGCATTACGTTCTAGATCTATTTCGATGATATTATCAAACTCACAATAAAGTAGTACAGTTATGGTTTCTCTTAATGGTTCAGAAAATCTCAACTGAACTCTTAACGAGCCTCTTTTAATAGGGTTAATATGTCCAGTCATACCAGGGCCATGTGACAAATCTGGAGCAAAGTTGAAAGCGAAAATTGTTTTTCCAGAAATGAATTCTTCTCTAGTAATATTTACTGTCGTGTCAGTAGAGTTCATATTCATTGCTTGAAATAAACCGGAGTACTCTCGTACACATAAATGATTTTTGAAGTCAGGTTGAAATGCATTTGTTGGGAATTGTACACCATCAACGTAACAAGCTGCATGTGAAACGTTAAAATGGTCAAAGTGGAATGGATCTTGAGACTTAGAACCATTAAATGCTGTGTTTTTAACCATTAACAAAAATAACCTTCGAGGAAGTTGTCCGGTAATTATATTATCTAGAACCGCGTCAAGAGAGTTTGCATGGATAGAAGCCTGTCTTAAATCAACCCTAGAGATAGGATAGCATGCGGGTGCAATAGCCAGAGCTTTTGAGTGTGCGTTTGTAAGTTGAGGTGTAGCCTTCATTTTATGAACATATAGACATGCATCCTTAATAATCATTGCAACATCACTGACTCTATCATCAAATTGCACGAAAAATGAAGGATCGTGTGTTAAGATTCTCACTTTAATATCTTTACCCCCAAGTATAGCCTTGCCTTGAAATGTCATGTCAAAATGTAAACGACCATAAAGATCAACTTCTTTACTGCTAGCATCTGCGAAACTTCTCGGGGTGAACAATGATCGTCTCCTCGTTGCATTCTCCATCCACAAACAACTCGACAAGTGTGAGTTTTTAGCATCAGCTGAAAACCCTAACATGTTTTCGATATAGGCTCTATAAGCGTATGTTGAGTTAGACATGGTTACCTCCTTCCCTCCGATTTCAAGTTCAACTTGTTTTATCATTGAATGAAGTAAATTATTTACTGGTGTTACAGTTTCCCAGTCTTGAATGTTTAATGCAGAATCATCTGCTTTTCGTATTTTGAGTTGAATTTTTACATAAAAATACGTTTCATGAAGAAGAATATACTCATCTTTAGATGTAGGGATTGAGAACTCTATTATTTTTGTGGAGTCGAGAGATGATATTGGTCTGTATTGTACTTCATAGCTTCTCTCAATAGATTTTTGAACAGGTGGTATCGTGAAGAGATCCAATTCAGAAAGGACAGCCTCTTTTGAATATTTGCTTTGAGTGGTCATTTTAAAAAACTATAATCAGCTATGTAAGATCTTTTCGTCAACTTTCTCCTTTTTATACCTGCGCCAGACTGACCTTCTGTATTTTCCGCTTTTCTTTTTATAGCCTCTTGAGCTACTTCTTGAACAGTATCAATGATTCTATTGGTCGCAGAAGTTTTCACATCATTTAAAATAGCCTTTCCAGTGTCCAGGGCTTTATCTCCCAAGTAACGCAGTATAGGCAAAACTTTACTTGTAAAAAGTCTACTGAAAAAACCGCCACCTCGTTGATAACGTACTCCTGAGAAAGATTGAATTGCAGTTCCATTGCCTGCTTGGTCTAAATAATAGCTTTCCATGTCTTTTTGAAATGCAAAGTGACTGAAACTCTCCCAAACTGAAATTCTAGAGGATTCCCTGAATCATCCTTTATATTAATTCTTATTTTATCAATGAAGCCTGAATTAACAGGAAAATAATATGGTTTTTGAAAAATTAAATTAATATCAGATCCGAATTCAACATTATCATCTATTCGAGCGGATCGTAAAAAATTAGCTTGAGTATTTCCTACAATTGAATGTGATACAATATCACTATAGACCATCAGTGAATGAATTCCTCCTTTAATATCAAACAGCCTTTCTGGACTTTTACTCTGCATACTTATGTATCTATCACTAATTAATGGTACGATAGACACATTCTCATCAGTGATATTCATTGCGTTTGTACTAGAAAAACCAAGCATTTCCTCCAACTCATTTCCTAGATAAACCAACATTGGTACTCCATCGCTTGTCCGTCCAAATTTCATTTCCACCTTTTGACTATGCTCATCTAGAATCAATTTGGGTTGTAAGTACTTATCTTGTTCGAATAAAAAGTCAATTTTATCGTTGATTGCTTTTATCAAATCATGAATGTTTTTATACCAACCAGGTGATATTCCTGGTTTCTGTAATATAATTGACCTAGTGTCATGAAGCGTGAAGGTTGAGTTTTGTTGGACATTATACCAACTCTTTGTGTATGTTAATTCTGTTAGAGCCACGTGATAATCATCAGATAAATTTAACGGTTTTGGAAGATATGTTGTATAATCAGAAATTTTATTTTTTTCATAAGAAAATACATTACTAGGTAATGAAACATAAAATGAATTAGGCATTTTTTATTAAATAAGGAATTGAAACACTTAAATATTAATCGACCTCTTTATATCACCATCACTTGCATTACGACTTATCAATGAAGCTTTTTTCGAGAATTTTGGAGTTGGAAGTATACATCCAAGAGACATTGTTAGCAAAGTTAACCATAGTTTCTGATCTCCCATCCCAAGAGAAAGATTAAGAAGTGAAGCAATGACTACACAAAAAAGGGTGAGAATTTGCATTGTAAATGTGAACATTTCAGCATTCATTATTGTGATATTGTTGTTATCGCTGTTGCATCTATCCATGAATTGTAACTTGAGGGATATCCTAACCATTTAACAAAGTATTGGGGCTTTCCTTTATATATTCGTCTTTTTAATATTTTCTCAATACGATGTACCTCTGCATAAACCTTTTGTAGTTCTTCTTCATAAAACTTTCTATTCTCTATTTTCGTCCCATCATAACCATCAAGTGTGAAAATTGGTTTTTTACTTGCTTTATCTATTGCAGAAATTTTATATACATGATCAGTCCAATTTGGATAGAATCCTTTTTCAAAAGGGCCTATCTTATATTTCATCCGTACTTCATCACCAATTTTAATCTTGTGTGTTGTGGGTGTTTTTTGATAAATTTCCCGTAATGATGTTTTTCCATAAAGCTTTTTAAAAATAGAAGCCGAATTTTCATCATCCACATCTTTTGGTGCAACCCCAATTGATCTATGTAAACTTCCGTTATAAGCAATTATCAACTGCTGCAGTACATCAATAAATTTTCTTGTCCCTTTTGAAGTGAAATACCGAAACATCCGGGTTTTTAAAGTTCTATTGAATCTTTCAACTATAGCACATTTAATATCTGGATTGTTTGATGAATAATACCTTATGTTTTTTGATGAAAGAAGATCTTGAAATGTTTTGTTGATGAATTCCTTTCCCTTATCAGTTCGTAAAGAATCAGGAGACCTTGTAGAAAGAATCTCTTTGAAAGCATCAGTAACGGACTTTGCTGATTTATTTGGAAGTGCACGTGCCCAAGCATATTTACTGAAACAGTCAATCACTGTTAAAATATATTTCTGGCCGTTATTCTGGCGCGAAAATTCTTGCATTTCAACAAGATCAGCCTCCCATTGTTCATCTATTTTACTAACGATAATAGGGTTTCTTACGAACTTTCTTCTAGCTTGAGCATGTAGAGTGTACGTGAGTTGGCTTTTTAACCATCTCTTAACTTGCTCATGTGTAAGACTAGGAATCTCTTTCTTAGCCGCATTGAAAAGTTTTAATGAAGAAGCGAAACCTGCTGGATTATTCGGTTGGTAATAGATGTTGGAAAGTATTTCCTTTTGGGATTGTCCAATTTCCATATGATCTGAGGTTGTATATTCTTTTCTGATATTGTTTATCGGCTGGTGTAATAACTTCAGATTTAGCTTTAGCTTTTTTGTTTGGAGTTTTTTGTAGTTTTTTCCTGGGCTTTTGTCCTGACGTTTTCTTCCAACTTCTTTACATAGTAATCACCGTTTCTTTGTATGTTTGTTAACACATTTGGTTCGAAAATTTGATCAGTTGGGTAATTGGTTTTACTCATTGTCATATGTTTGAATTTTCTTCTGATTTTATCATTTTTTATCAGCGATGGATCTACATCACATCTTTTAAGTAAGAATAAAAATTCATTTATGTATTTTGGAAGTTTACTTTGCTTTGTGAGGGAGGCTATAAGATCAATTAAATCACTATCAGGTATGACCTTATCGTTAAATAACAGTCTATTATTAGCGTCGTAATAATTACGTAATGCAAATTTCAGCGCTACATGAGTAATAAATTTTATTTTATCATCAAGAGTTGTTGTACTTGTTACAATGCCTGAGCCTTTCATTGGTAATTGAGAGGTCTCACTATCATTCATTTGGTAAATTTTCTTTATTACTTCCATTCGACAATATTGTGTTTATCAATTGTATAGCAGCAGGAATCAGATAGTGAAGATATCCGCCAGATTGTACCAGATGTTTTCTGTGTCTCTTTTTATTTTTATCGTGGATAAAATCAACTATTGCGCGCTTGTGTCTTCGCAGCTTTGGTTTGACATCATCAGAAAGAGGTAGGTTCTGGTGCACGACGTTCATAACAATCTCGTGGACCGCCTTATATATTTTTGAGTCCTGTTTATATTGATCAGCTAAAAAGTCTTGTCGTAGCTTTTTCCCTTTCAGCTTCATGTAAAGATGAATAATAGGTAAACAATCTGACAGCTCTTGTGAAATCATATTTCATAAATGGTTATGTTGTGTTTGGCTTCCTTTCGAACTATGTTGGTCTGTACTCTCAAGTGATCTGGAGTTCTTGGAGTAAGGTCGATCTTTAAATAACTGAACGGTTGTTTGGTTGCATCTTCATATGCTTTTATTAGTCTTGCGCTCTTAGTTGGGTAAATTTGTCTGGCTAAACAGTGTATCTGTGATTTGTCTCTAGGATTTTTCATCATAACTAAGTATTGACAGTTTAAGCTTATTCCACGCATGTGTTTACCCTGGTGGAAAATGTTTTGTACTATGAATATAACACTAATGTTGAGATGATGACTGCCTTTAGTAAATAAATTTAAAAGTCTATTATCTCCTCCCAATTCATTCATAAGATCGTCAACGACAATCAAATCATAATTACTAGGATCCTCAACTAAACCTTCATGATATTCAATTATACTATCATTTTTACTATAACCTTCTTGCATTTGTCCATGACACCATATAATCTTAGGATGTGGTTTGAGGTTGGAAAATGTGAATCTATGATTATCTATTAATGACTTTACAAGTACAGTCTTACCACTTGATGTTGGTCCTGCGACCATACAAGTGAAAGGGTGAATAAAAGTAAAATACAAGTTATCTTCTGAAACCATCGTTTATTAATTCATAAACTTATCGATTGAATGTTTACATTCACAAGTTTTTTTTTAAATTCTTTATATAATGAAAAAAGTTCATTCGTTGGCTTTTTTCCGTTTGATGACATTTCCATCTGCAGACAAGTTTTCCGCCTTCCAATCTTCCTTGAGCTCACATCGGAGTTGCATTAATACGTATCCGAGAAGATTTTTTCCTGTCCAAGTATGTGGTTTGTCAGCATTTGCGTCATCAGCAGCAAATCCACAAGACAGTGCATTATCTTCAGGGTCACAATATATCAAAATAGTATTACCTGTAGCGATCAACATACGCTTCAATTCCCAGCAAGCTCTGAACTTGGCTAAATATCCAGTAAGAATATCGTCAAATTGAATATTTTTCAAATCCTTGTTGACTGCTAGGTAATTTATAACAGAGTTGTACCATTTTTCATCAATTTTGAATCGGTATGATGTATCAGTCAAGATGAACCTTGAGTAATCTCCTGACTTTGGACTTATCTTAACAAATGGAGTCGGCTTTCTGATGTATTTTTCGGAAGGTTCTACTTCTGGTTTGGAGAGAGAGGCTGATAATTTGGAGAAATCCATTTTAGGATGAAAGTAAGAAGTGTTTTCGTGAAAAGATAGTTTAAAGTTAATGTTCACAGTAGAAGAGTAAGTTTGTGAATGAAAATAATGAGAAAAAACTCTTGTTTTATACTGTATACGTTCATGATATAATCATACATGCGCAATACTTGGAATAAACAGGTTTTTTTAGCCGATGGAACGCCTTTTTTGGTCATTAAACATACTTTAACATCCCTAAGACTGCCTTTTCTTGACACAGAATCAGCTTTTTGAAAATACATACCCGCCTTATTTCATATGTTAAGTCTATGTAAATTAGATAACTTCAAGCCACATTCAGTTTTCTATATTGCTCTTTCAATCAAATTATAAACTTTTTTTTTTAAAAAATAATTAGAATGCAAATTTGCTTAACTTAACTTTTTGTTTTATTTAATTAAATTTGAAAAAAAAATCAATCTACATATCCGAAAGGGCGTGTATCATTGCCAATTATTCGTCTCTTTTCGGAGACTGCTCTGTAAATTTTTTCAAAACTGCGAGTTTCAACTGTATGTGTAAACTTATCTGATACAATGTTACTCTGCGCAATATTAACTCTTTGTTGGTCCCCTCCGATGTACGCATGTGCCATTTCAAGCAATTTTTGAGTTGTGATGATATCTAATGCTTTAGATGTCAGTCTTATCCCCTTAACTTTAATTGTACTTTTGGTTTCTCCTACGCTGTTTATGACCTGGTAAGCGTAATTTTTCGGTCCCAATGAAACAAACACATTACATTTCCAGCCAGGTTCAATTTCATCAGTGAGTTGGCCAAGATAATCTCCACAATGTATTATTGGATCACCCTGCTTCTCAACAAACACTACGGAATCAGTATCGAAATAAAGAACTCGTCCTTGGCGATGTGATTCAATCCGTTGGATCAACCGAAATAGTTCTCTTCGTGCATATGCTGTAACAAAGCTTGCAACTGCTATGTTTGTCTTTCCTGGAGAGATTTTATCTTTAGCTGACTCGGCAAAACGATGCTGAAGCATTATAACTTCATCAGATGGTTCATGCATGCCCATTATCTCGTTTTCTTCATCAGATAATATCGACCATAAATCAGCATAGTTTCTTAAAAATGTAGTCTTAGGTAAATTTGCAGTTTGAGCTAGTTTACCCCAGAAACTATTTAACATAAGCTTAGCAATGCTTCTTCTTCCTGGATTTTTTTCGATAGCTTCCGGATCAAGCTCAACACCTTCAGCTTTTTTGTAATCAGTGATGTATTTTTCTTTATCCGAAGCTGACTGGACCCATGAAGGCCAATCACTGGATTCTTGTTTGACTTTGAGCCACATTTTAACGTATTCAGAAAATAATGAAGATGAGTGTGGACTTTTGCGATAATGTAGTACTTGATAGATCTCTAAAATTTTATAACCAAACTTAACAGCTTCTTGGAGTTCAATAGATGTCCATGTACTTATCATGACTCTTTCTTCGGGTGAATGCGAACATGAAGATGGGTTGCTTTCAGACGCACATTTCATGCATAGTGGAAACAACAACTTCTTTGATACTCTCATTGGTAGAACTCCTATGTTTAGTTTTGTAGGAGGAAGTACCTTGCATTTAATGAAACCAAAGTACATTCCAATGTCTTTAAAATCTTCTTGAATGAGGATGGGGTGACCAAGAGGATAATCATATTCACGTAACACAAATGGATATAATGAAGTGAAGTCCAAGTACCTGATGACTTCTCCAGTAACACATTCATGGTAAAACTTAATGTTGTTTGTCCTACCACCATAAAAACTTTCACGGATGTTAATGGGTCCTATTGCCTTGATGCGATTATAGTGGTTAATACGTGTGCTTGTATACCTTTCTCTTGCATCAAACTCATGTTCCCATATCTCATGAAGGAGATAGCCTCGATGTTGGTAATATTCCTTTTTAAGCAGGACTTTTTGATACAATGATTCAACATTAACCTGCTCTTCATTCATTGTTACACAACTTGTGCGATCAGGATAACATTCTGGACAACCATGGAAGTAACAACCCCAGAACTCAAACACTGTATTGGTGCTTGGAATGAACCCATCAGCGTAAAAAGGACCAAGTCTCCATTCTCTTCGGATACTTTTACGCAGATTTTTTTGCATTAGATCTAACCATGCAGAACCTTTGATTGACTGCTTTCTCTCAGCATATCCGTAAGTAGGTGTAATTCCAAGAGTGAATGCTGGTAGCATGCGGGCCCTAAAGACTTCCATGGCTACTGATGCAAGTGTGAAACTTCTTGTGATTGGATTAAGTCCGGTGATCGTTCTGAACAAGTCAATGAAACGCATTATTGCTGTTTGAAGTATCATCACATCTGATCGACAGTATTCAATGATTTCAGATTGAAAGTCGAATGTAGCATTATTCTTGGTGGTTTCATCATACCATTTCTCTAGTTCACTCCTCTGTGTTGGCTTAAGAGAGAGAGGATCATAAAAGTCAATAGCAGGATAAGGTCCTACATAGTGTTGGTTCTCGGCTGTGTTGAACTTATGTGGAAAGTATCCTTTCTTCATCTCTTTGATGTTAAAGGATTTACATAGAGAAGAAAGCGGTTGCATAAATAAACTCAATGAATCGATAAACTTTATGTTTTCCATTTGCGAGTAAAGAATTTTCGATCCTGACATAATGACGTTTGGTAAAAGCAAAAATTTCCGTTTGAAAAAATCTTGCATGATGAAATGACCATCATATCCTCTTTGATTGTGTGCGATTACCTTAATCTCAACAGCACTTCTAGTGTCATCTTCAGAGGCAGTACGAGGAAGCATTACATTGTAGAGGTAATCACAAAAATCTTCGACGCATGATGAACTATACCAAACATGTTCTTCATCACCGCA